AAGCCGGTTTGAAATGGGTCTAGATAATCGGTTTCATCCAAGACTGCAGTTGAGCAGGGATGGACCAGTGTTTTGGTTCAACATAAAAGCAACTTCATTTTTTAAAAAAGGCCATACAATCTGCCTCACCCACATAGCTGTGGTATGCACATAAATGCACCACAACATCCTATGAGGGCAACTAGCACCACAGACAGCAAATACTTCCTTACCTTTGAATCGCAGCAGTGCCTCTTGAAGGATAGACCGTTTCCAGGAGAACCTACGGAGCCTCTGTTTTAGCTCTTCTACAGCAGGGTCTATCTTCAACACGCCATCTTCCATGCTGGGGAGGGAAAGAAGATGGGTGATCCCAAAGCAGATCCACTTCTCTGCTCCTTACAAACCCAGCAGAGCAGAAGAAGGAAGAGTTTAAAATGTACCTGTTCTTGGTGCTTTCAACACCCTGGAAAGAGAGTAAGAAGAAGAAAGGGGAGTTGGGTGTGCAATAGAAGAGGAAGCAAGGCCACAAATCCACAAATATGAAATCTCTGATACTGACTAAATATGGCAACCATAATGATAGTTTTATACAGTATACTGTGAAATCGATTACTTAACATATTCATGTATAAGTTGAGGCATTTTAGTCAAAAGTTGACCCAAAAAAACTCGGTCAATTCACCTCGGGGCCAATGCAGGTTCTGTACTTTAGCTCTTTAAAAAAGAAAAAGGAATTATTTCCTTCTCTGAGTAGAGTGGTGAAAGGCAAGAGCTTAGTCCATCCTGGGAGCACCTTAAATAACCACCAATTCCCTTTACTCTCTGCGCCGTGGCACCACTTCTGATCTTTGTGAATGGCTGGGCAGCAAAATGATGGAGATGGTCGCTCTTTGGTACTTCCTCTCAAAGGAGCAGCAAGAGGAGTTGGGCTTTAAAGGATATGGATAAGACACTTGTGTATGTTTATCAGCTTTTCTGGGTTAAAATCAGGCAAGCTAAAGGCTATAATCATTGCTAATGTAGTTGCCATTGTCTTTGCTTTGCCTTTTCATCCCTTCTGACATGTGCACATATTCTTAGCCATGGGCTAGACCCGGTCACCTTCCACACACATCGCACAGCCACAATTTACCATAGTTCCCTTCTCATGCATCCAGTCTTGCGCAAGCACAAACAGTTATGCCTGCTGGAATTTTGTACGTTCTTTGGCATCGTTTTCCTTTGCTTCATCCTTTACATCCTTTGTTACATGTTCCTAAGTTTTACCCTCAACTTATCCATGGGTCATATCAAAAACCATAATTTTGGCCGCAAACCTGCCTTTGACTTATACATGACTCTGTATAAGTATATACGATACCTCAGAAGGTGATGGACCCTTCTTCATTGGAGACTCTTACACTAGCAGGGAGTTGGAATTTGATGGTCCTAGGAAACCCTTCCAACTCTATAATGTTATGATTAAAACTATACCAGGCCTTCCAGCTGAGAAACTCTAGAGCAGAACTGGGCAGTCGGCACTAATCTTCAGTCACTTACTCCATGCACCTTCCTGCACCCCATGTCTTACCTTTATGCTGCCACCACAAGTCATCAGAATAAACATAGACATACAGACTGGCACGTGACCCAACCAAGCACAAAAAAGGTGATGCAAGGCAGAATAGAGAGGAGGGAAAGGAGCATCCCTATATACCAGGAGTAGGCAACTTTTCCCCTTTAAGGGCTGAGGGACTTCAGCTCCCAGAAGCCTCAACCATGTTGGCCAATAGTCCCATGTTGGCCAATAGCTCCTGGGATTCTGGGAGCTGAAGTCCCTCGGCCCTTAAAGGGGACAGGTTGCCTATCCCTGATATATACCTTTGGCTTCAAGCCCTCAACTATCTTCTCCCAAAAGAACTGTGGCTCTTATCTTCAAACAGCTTGTCCGACTTTGCCCTCAAAACCAGAAACAGGCTAACAAACTAAACTCAGCATTTGGGCTGCTTTCAGATTTTATGAGCAACCCACTGCATGTTTACTATTTTGTCACAACTGTATCCCATCCATTTCTGTGGTCAGCTCTGGGCATTTCCCACAACTCTATCAACAAAAGAGATCAGCAAAGCAGATAAAGCTAAAAGACACTGACATGGCCGATGACCAAAAGATGACAAGTTCAAGATTGTTGTTGTTTTCCATCCCAGGGCTTAAATTTTTCTTCTCATATTCTAAGCTGCTTGGCCATTACGAGGAACAAGATAGTTATTAGCTTTGCCTGAAAACAGAGATTTAAACCTAGGATTGACAACTAGGCCAAAGAAAATTGCACAGAATGCTCCTATATTTTAATAGTGATGTGGTCTATAGAAATCACTGGGACACAGTGGCTAGAAAGCTGGACTGGGACTCCAGAGATTCATTTAGCTCTCAAGCTCCTAGCTGATACTGGGCCAGTCAGTCTTTCTCAGCCTGACCTACCTCCTAGAGTTGTTGCACTGAGGAAGTAGGATAACAGGAGGAGACTTAGGTATGGGATGTTGAGCGCACCAACTCTTAACTGCACATTAAATAGCTAGGGTCAGTGTGGTGTAGTGGTTTGAGTGTTAGACTCTGACTCCGCAGACCAGGGTTTGATTTCCTGATTGACCATGAAACCCACTGGGTGATCATGGGCAAGTCACATGCTCTCAGCCTCAGGGGAAGGCAGTGGCAAATCTCCTCTGAAGCCCACGACTGCCTTAGCTTTGCCATAAGTCAGAAACAACTTGGAAGGCACAAAACAACAACAAAGGGTCAGCTTGGGCTTACATTCCCTAAAGCAGGGGTAAGCAACCTTTCCCCTTTAAGGGCCGAGGGACTTCAGCTCCCAGAAGCCTCAGTCATGTTGGCCAATAGTCCCATGTTGGCCAATAGCTCCTGGGATTCTGAGAGCTGAAGTTCCTCGGCCCTTAAAGGGGAAAGATTGCCTACCCCTGCCCTAAAGGCAGCAGATCCTGTCTGATCTTGGAAGTTAAGTAGGGTCAGCCCTAGCTAAGAAAACCACTAGTTGACCTTGGAAAAGTCACACTCTCTCAGGGGAAAGCAATGGCAAACTTCCTCTGAACAAATCTTGCCAAGAAAATCCCATGATAGGGATGCCATAAGTTGGAAAGGGCTTGAAAGGACACAACAACAAAGAAAACCCTATGATATTCTTGGGGCAACTTAAAGGCATAAACACACGCACAAAGACTCAGCTACAAGGGATGTTTCGGAAACTGGCAACCCTACTGTGAAGGAAGGAGCTGGGCATAGCTGGTTGGTGGCAGCCAACCTTAGCTCTGGGGATGCCATGAAGGGAGAAAGGAGGAGACAAAACTGAGGCTTGTCTCTGACAAAAGGCAGATGGAGAAAGATAGCCTATGGAGAGAGAAAAGCTGGAACAGAGATATAGTTCTGGAGCTAATGTGTGATCCAACTATGATTTAATAAACGTCTACTTATTTATTCTTTCCAGCTGTGGGTGTTGCCGCACTGGAGAACGAATGCAGTCTGACACGGTTTTAACTGCTATGGCTCCCTCCTATGGAATCTTGGGATTTGTAGTTTGTTGTGGCAGCAGCACTGTCTGGCAGAGAAAGCTAAATATCTCACAAAGCTAAAAATCCTAGGATTCCAAAGCCCTGAGCTATGGAAGTTAAAACAGTGTCAAACTGCATTCATTCTGCTGTGTAGATGCAGCCTGTCTGGCTGTTCCTATTAGGTTCTAACAGAGAATCTGATCATTTACTACAGAGAACTTACTGAACACCACATCCACATAGGGATCACCTTGAGGCCCAAATACCTGATCCAGGGAAGGATCTTGAAGGGAAAAGGGGCAAGGTGAGTGATAGGATCCCAAGGATTTAGAATTGTGGGCCAGCCTGGACAGAAGACCTGTCACGCGTACTTGGAGCAGTGACATTTTTGGTTCCTTCAGTCTATTATTATTGAGCTATGAATGCCAGCATAGTGTACTGGTTTGAGCGCTGGACTGGGACTTCGAAGACCAGGATTTGATTCCCAGCATTGACCGTGAAATGTACTGGGTGACCTTGGGCAAGTTACATACTCTCAGCCTCAGGGGAAGGCAATGGCAAACCTCCTCTGAACAAATCCTGCCAAGAAAACCCCACAACAGGTTTGCCTTTGGGTTGCCATAAGTTGTAAATGACTCGAAGGCACACAACAACAAGATTTACCTGCAAAGACTGACTTAATGCTGGCTCTTTTCCCTGTTCGCCCAGAAGTTCCTGGAGTAGCGAATCTTCACTGGTCACTTTGGAGTCCTGCTCATAGCTGCTCTGGACAATGTCTCTTTTGAGCTCCTCCAAATGATTCAGCCAGTGCCTTTCCCACGCCTCCAAATATCCCCGCAGCTCCTTCCATTCCCAGATAACCTGCTGCTCTTCCACCTCCATCTGCTTCTGCAGTCACAGAATCAAGCAGAACAACACTGAAAAAATCCCAACACTTGCATTTTTTTCCCCCTACCACGGTTCATAGCTGCCTGATAGGCAGAAATCTAACAGGTAAAGCTTTGCTTAACACAAAGCTAACGCAGCAGAGAAACATCACCTGCTAAATTCAAACATGAGATCGCTTCAGTCAGTCACAGCCTCACAGCCTAGTCTACCTCACAAGGTTGTTGTAAAGATAAACAGGAGGAGGCAGGGGTAGGCAACCTTTCCCCTTTAAGGGCCGAGGGACTTTAGCTCCCAGAATCCCAGGAGCTATTGGCCAACATGGGACTATTGGCCAACATGGCTGAGGCTTCTGGGAGCTGAAGTCCTTCGGCCCTTAAAGGGGAAAGGTTGCCTACCCCTGGGCTACTCTATTTATAATACCTACCAGCAATTCCTCTCTTTGCTTCCCTTCACTCATTTGGGTTCCTCTCTCTCTTCTCAAATAAGCCTGAAGTTCCACTGATTCTCCCTGGAAGAAAAACACGGCAATTTTCTGTAAACAGCAACAAAGAGAGCTGCCAGTTTATTATTATCATAGAATCATAGAATCATAGAGTTGGAAGAGACCCCAAGGGCCATCCAGTCCAACCCCCTACCATGCAGGAACTCCCAAACAAAGCATTCCCGACAAATGGTCATCCAGCCTCTGCTTAAAGACCTCCAAGGAAGAAGACTCCACCACACATTATTATTATTATTATTATTATTATTATTATTATTATTATTATTATTATTATTATTATTATTATTATTATTATTATTTTATGACCAAAACCTGCTCCTACACCTTTCGCAGGCGACCATATTCGTGTTTTGGCCCCAAAAAGTTTCTGAAGTTTTTAAGCTGCTTTTAAACATACAAGAGTCAGTCAGCTTGTTTTGCAATTTTTCTGGTCGGCTGGGTTATCCCACTATCACCTGGATGAAATTTCACATTTCTTCTCCCAGTTTGGTGATCCTTAGCGAAGAGTTAAACTACATGACCCAAGATCCAACTAGACCAGGGGTAGGCAACCTACGGCCTCGGGGGGCCGGATGTGGCCCCCCCCGAGGCCTTTGGACCGGCCCCAGGCCAGTCCTGTCACCACTGCCGCCCGCCATGATGATAATGATTATTGTTGTTATTACTTGTTCTTGGGGTTTTCTTGGCAAAATCTCCACAGGGGTTTTGCCATGGCTTTTCTGGGGCTGAGAGAGTGTGCATGCATATTTTTTAATTTTTAAAATTTATTTATTTATTTATTTATTGTGCTTCGGGGGCCCCCAGTTGTCTGAGGGACAGCAACCCGGCCCCCGGCTCAAAAAGGTTGCCTACCCCTGGTATAAGGTGTGTTGCTGATGTTGTTGTTGTTGTTGTTGTTGTGTGCCTTCACATCATTTTCAATTTATATGGCAACCCTAAGGCAAAACTATCATGGGATTTTCTTGGCAAGAATGGGTTTGCCATGGCCTTCCCCTGAGGCTGAGATTGTGTGACTCGTCACCCAGTGGGTTTCATGGCCCAGCTCCTCCTGAACTGTTCAGTGCTATCCTCCATGCTGTCTCTACCTTCCCCAACATGATGTATCCCGCCCCATGTAAAAGACTACCTTCCCTAAGCTGGAATGCCTCCTCCTTCCTGTGTATGGACTACAACTCCCATCACCCTCA